GTTGGGACCCCCAACGGCCCCCGAAACCTTTTTGCCAGAGGGAGGGGCCCCCCGGAGTGCCACTACCAACACCCCCCGCTCTGGCCATCTCCATCTGGGGGTCGGAAGCGAGTCCCAGTGTCCGCGGAGATTTTCTCGTGGAGGATCTGGGCTCCTCGAGTCTTAGTGGGTCTAGCCAGAGGAGAGGAGGAGAGGAAAGGAAATAGAATAGAATAGAATAGTGTTCAGAATAGAGTTCAGCAGAGAATAGAATTCAGAATAGAATTTCGAATAGAATTCGCAATAGAATAGAACAGAATTCAGAATAGAATAGAATTCACAATAGAATGGAATTTAGAATAGAACTTAGAAAAGAATTCAGAATGGGATAGGATTTAGAATAGAATTCAGAATAGAATATAGAATGGAATTTGAGAATTCAGAATAGAATAGAATCCAGAATAGAATAGAATTCACAATAGAATGGAATTTAGAATAGAACTTAGAAAAGAATTCAGAATGGAATAGGATTTAGAATAGAATTCAGAATAGAATATAGAATGGAATTGAGAATTCAGAATAGAATAGAATCCAGAATAGAATAGAATTCACAATAGAATGGAATTTAGAATAGAATTTAGAAAAGAATTCAGAATGGGATAGAATTCAGAATAGAATATAGAATGGAATTGAGAATTCAGAATAGAATAGAATTCAGAATAGAATAGAATTCAGAATATAATAGAATAGAATTCAGAAAAGAATTCAGAATAGAGTAGAATTCAGAATATAATAGAATTCAGAGTAGAATAGAGTTCAGAATATAATAGAATAGAATTCAGAAGAGAATTCAAAATAGAATAGAATTCAGATTAGCATTCAGAATGGAATAGAATTCAGAATATAGAATTTAGAATAGAATTTAGAATAGAATTCAGAATAGAATTCAGAATAGAATAGAATTCAGAATAGAATACAGAATAGAATAGAATTCAGAATAGAATAGAATTTAGAAAAGAATTCAGAATAGAATAGAATTCAGAATAGAGTTCAGCATAGAATAGAATTCACAATAGAATTCACAATAGAATTCAGAATTAGAATAGAATCCAGAATAGAATAGAATTCACAATAGAATGGAAATTAGAATAGAATTTAGAAAAGAATTCAGAATAGAATAGAATTCAGAATAGAATGTAGAATAGAATA